TCCAGCCCATCTCTAAGGAGGATCTCCCAGATCACTTTACAGTTAGGTGTTTCCCATATGAAATTAGAGGAGCTGGGTCAGGGAGACAAAACTCTTCTATTAGTCTATGCAAGGCTCCTCCTTTGCGGGTATTTTGTGCAAAGGATTAAGAAGCTGGACTCCACTGCCATTAAAGCTGAGAGAATTCTAAGTTTTTTTGTGGCTTTGGGATTATATTTATTATCACTAAAAATAAAAAATTTTCAACATGTAAATAAATATTTTTTAAATCAAAAGATTATTATCTGCTTAGTCTTATTTCTCAATTATGGTATTAAAAGAATGACTCAATAGATATATCTCGCATTTTTTACAGGAGAACTTTTGTACTATTTGGAATTGATTTCAACTCCTCTCACTTAGTTACTGGCATTAATAACTACATGAAATGAATCCAGTTTCAGTAGTATATAATTTTATTTTTCCAGTTTTCAGGTTCATCAGGCTTAAAAAGTAGGATAATTTATTTTTCTTTTCTTTGTTTTTGAGACAGGGTCTCAATCTGTCACCCAGGCTGGACTATAGTGGTGCGATCTTGGCTCACTGCAACTTCTGCTTCCCAGGCTCAAGTGATCCTCCCACCTCAGCCTCCCAAGTAGCTGGGACCACAGGTGCACGCCACTATACCCAGCTAATTTTTGTACTTTTTGTAGAGACAGGGTTTCGCCATGTTGCCTAGGCTGGTCTCAAACTCCTGAGCTCAAGCGATCCACCTGCCTCAGCCTCCCAAAGTGCTGTGATTACAGGCGTGAGCCACCACTCCTGGCCAATTCATTTTTCATGTGCTCAGCATTTCTCCCATTTTCTGAAATAGGTCCACACTTTAATTTCTAGATGTTGCAAACTTAAATTTTAGTTTCCAGATATGCAAACTTAAATTTTACACTCATAAGAAAGTTCTTGATATTAATAACTTTATCCTGTAAAACTCTGGCTCTCTTACATGGGAGAAAATTATAAAGAGGGTCACATTTTTATCGGCTAAAGCTCCAGTGAAAGACCGCAAAGATTTATAAAATAGAATATGGAGAAAAATGACTGTATTGTAAACCAGAAAACCAAATTTAACATAAGGGAGTTTTTACCAGCCAATGGCTATTGTCTCTTTAAAATTAAAGGGATTCTCTAACTAGTTGGGGTCATGGAAAATAAATATGGGAGACATTTCAGATCAAAAGAAACTTAAGAGACAAACACAATCGAAGTGCAATGCATAATCCCCAACTGATGAACAATAGTGTGAACCAATGTGTGATCCCCAACTGATGAATAATAGTGTGAACCAATGCGTGATCTCCAACTGATGAATAATGGTGTGAACCAATGTGTGATCCCCAACTGATGAATAATAGTGTGAACCAATGTGTGATCTCCAACTGATGAATAATAGTGTGAACCAATGCGTGATCCCCAACTGATGAATAGTGTGAACCAATGTGTGATCCCCAACTGATGAATAATAGTGTGAACCAATGTGTGATCCCCAACTGATGAATAATGGTGTGAACCAATGTGTGATCCCCAACTGATGAATAATAGTGTGAACCAATGTGTGATCCCCAACTGATGAATAATAGTGTGAACAAACTAGTTGTAAACAAAGCCTTGGAGGGGTGATTGGGAAAGTCTTAAATATGAAAACGTTAAATATATGGATAACATTAGGGAATTGTTCGCTTTTATGAGGTCTAGTAATGGTATTGTAGTTAGAAAGAAAATGTACCTATTTTGAAAACTGATCACTGGAGTATTTAGGGGCAAATGTCAGCAATTTGCTTTAAAAGCTTAGGGAAAAAAGCAAATAAAACAAAAAAAAAGGCTTCAGAATTAGGTGATGGGGGAAGAGGTGAGAAAAGAAAGAATTCATAAATGTAGGGGATGAGTAAATTCCACATGCTCTCTTCTCTACTTTTCTGTATGTCTGATTTTGTTTGTAACGAGAGAGAGAAGTGGGGAGGATATGGAATGTATGCATGTGAGCAAGTTGTGGGTCATGCGAGTGTCCATGCAAGGTACTTAGAGGCTACGGTTTAAGGATACTAACTCTGAAAATCATGTAATAAGGATTAGAAAACTTCTTTTGAAAATTAAATTGGGGGAGAATATGAATATTTCCCTTCAGAATGAAGATCTAATAACATATATGTCATTCATAATGCCAAGTACTCCTGTTGCACTCTTTCGAGTATATTATCCATTTAAACTGTTGTTTTGTGTTTTAGGAAGCTGACGATTTCTAAGAACAAGAACCCCAGTATTTCTTGAAGTTAACGGAAACTCTTTTTTGGCTTTTCCAATTGTGGCCCATTTTCCAACCAGTTCTGCAGCACATACCTAGACAAGCAACATACCTCTGGAGCCAGCACAGTGCTCTTCCATATCACCAGTCATATACAGCCTCATTATTAAGGTTTTAATTTCAGAGTGTAAACTTTTTCAAGTGCTCATTAGGTTTTATAAACTAAGAAGCTATATTTTTGCCCTTAAAACACTATAGTGTTATGACTTGTATACACATATATTGGTATCAAAGGGGATAAAAGCCAGCTTGTCTGTTATAGTATTTCCTTTTACATTTCTGTTAGCAGCACTCCTGCTACTAAAGTAATGTGTTTACTTTCTTTCCTTCCCATATTCTCAATTAAAAGGTGAGCTAAGTCTCCTAGGTGTTTTTGATTAACAGTAAATCCTAAATTCAAACTGTTAAATGGCATTTTGATTTTTATGTCTCTCCTTAACTATGAGATGCATCTTGCTTGATTGAAATTTTTTCAATATTCCAGGTGATAGATTTTGTTGTTATGTTAATTAATCCAAGATTTACAATAGCACAATGCTAAATCACACAGTGACTACAAAAGATTACATAAATAGGAAAAGATTGGCAGATGACATTGCAGGATGAATCACTTGTCACTTTTCTTTTGTGCTGTGAAAAATAATCAGCAATGTGGGTCTTCCATGAGCAGTGACTGACTGTTTAGCTTACTATGTTTTCCCCCACAATTAATTCAATGATCTATAACAGAGCAAAGTCTATGCTCATTTGCAGACTGGGATCAGTAAGCAGTTTAATAAAAAGATTCTAAAATAGTATATTACAACAATTCAGGGCTGGTGAAAAAATATCAACTCTAAATGATGATAATTTCTCTGAGAACTGGAAGAAATTATTAACTTTTTTCTTTTTCTTGATTTTTTTTTTTGGTTGTAATTCACTTGTTTATTTTGGGGGAGGAAGACTTTGGTATGGAGCAAAGAAATACCAAAACTACTTTAAATGGAATAAAACCAACTTTATTCTTTCTTTTCCCCTGTACTGGTAGATAAAACAAACTTTATAAGTGGACTACTGAAAGAAAAGTGCCTTTTAAAAGTGTTTAGTTTCCCAGTGTCTTTCCAAGCTTAAAATACAGAAGCATTTGTTCAAAGGATAGAAAACATCTAAAAGTTTAGGCTCCAGATCAATCTTTACAGACTGATATTTTCAGTTTTTAGGCTGCAGATGTTATTTCTTTTAACAAAATGGGATTTTCAACTAGATTATCTGTATTTAAAGGTATGAACCTTGATATTTTTCCAATACTATTTTTAAAAAATTTGTATGATTTACATATAAACCTCAATTCTGAAATTCATTACATAGCTCATTCTGCCTTTTATACTGTCTAAAAAAGCGAAGTTTTAATGCACAGTTTTAAACTGTAAATTACATCTGACGGCTGTATTTCCTTTAATCACATTTTATATTTTTTCTTCACAATTCTAACCTTTGAAAATATTAAAACTGGATATTTCTCCAAACAGATGTCCTGGATGATGGTCCATAAGCATAATGAAGAAGTAGTTAAAAATGTACAGTTTTTCCAGCAAAATTTGTAGCTGATGTCTTGGCTAAATAGTCAAACACTAATATGGGCCTGTTGTTTAGTGTCTCCTTCCTAAAGAGCACTTTTGTATTGTAATTTATTTTTTATTACGCATTAAACACTATGTAAATAAACTTTAGTAATAAAGAATGATCAATTATATAATTTGTGTATATACATATCTAAAAGTTCTACACTGCAGGGGAAACAGATGGATATATATTTTATCTTTACTGAAAAGTTTTCTTAGTAGAGACAACCTGAAGTCAACAATGGAGAAATATACGGATTTCCACAGAATTTTCACATTGCTTTGGATAGCTGGGAATTGGGCACAACAATACTAGTTAGTTTGAGGGCTCTTTCAAAGAACAGTATCAAAGATTCCATTTAGTACTTTGCATTACACTTTTAATAGGGAAAACTACTGGGTTTCAAGTCTAGTAAAGGAACAGAAATTGAAAAATGGAGTTATTAATTTTTCTCCAAAGCGAAAGCATACTTTTATTCTCCTACTGCTTTCACTGACGTGGCAATTTCCAGGGAAGAGGCTGATTATTAAAGCAGCCTACTTATTGTACCATCTCTTATTCAGAAGTATATGACACCATCTCACTTCAAGTACTGTGATAACATAACTTTTTTGCTTTTCCAACCAAAGACACACAAATCCCAGTTTCCCTTTTTCTCTAACACAGGCTGTAATGATCATTGCCACCACGAAAAGTAACTTAATAAACACTCAATTCTGGATGCTGTACTAGCTTTACTAAAAAGGACAGGAACCAAAGATGCTCGTGGTATATATTACCACAAGCGCCTAATACATATTTATCTATGCTGTATGATCTCCCAGGTGTTTCTGAACTCTAAATTTACAGGAGTGTATTCTGAGAACCTTCAACTAAAATAATCTCGAGATGTAAAAACCATGTCTGGAATGCAGTCAGAGCATCACAATTATTTAGTTCTGCATAAAACAAAATTGTAAATATTCCAAGTTTGTAGCCTACTTAATTTGCAAGCAAAAGAGAGCAATTAGCTTCCACCTGAAATTTAGTGAATCGCTGGCCAGTGAAACCAGGTGTGGTTCTGGAAAGAAGCCAGATTCCTATGGTAACTTCGGATCGTCGTTTAAGTTGTCTCACTGCCTCCTGCTCAACGTCACTTCCGGTGTTACCTGTGTCGTTACTGGGAGCTGTAAACAAGGTGTGTAAGCATCTGAAGAGCTGGCGGGATGCAGCAGAGCGGAGCGGCTGGAGGTCGTGGCTGCGCTCTTTTCCCTGTGCTGGGCGTCCTGTTCTTCCAGGGTGAGTGCTGTGGCTGGCTGCGCTCCACTTCCGGCTGCGGGGTTAGGGAAGATGGTCGCTTTTCCGATTCCGGGTGGGGAGGGTCTCTGGAAAGCTTCCTGAAAGCTCTGGGTTGGAAGGAAGGAAGTAGGGAGCAGGACGTGGGGAGGATGACGTCACCACCCCGCTGAGGGGAGCTGGGATTTTGTCAGTCCTTTCCCGAGCTTTGGGAACTTGACCACCTTGTGTGACTCTTGTCATTGTAGTTTGGTGATGACTTAACTTGATGGAACCACAAAGAGCTCTGGCTTTGGAGGCAACCGGTGTTATTTTGCGATAAGACTATCAGTGCTTGACTTCTGCGGTTTGGGGGCTGTATACCCTGATTAGAAAAAAGACAGGTCTAGCATTCAGTAGTTTGTCCCAGTAGTTTTGGGAAACAAAATCATGACAGTCGGTAATTTTTTTTTGTAGGTGATTATTGTGGTCTCTAAAAATGAAACATTTGTTAGTGACAGAAGGGATGTGATGTGATTCATTATAGGGAAGCATATTGATGAAAAAGCAACTGCTTTAGCATTTTAATCACTTTTTCTTTTTAGTGTCACAAGATCTGATTTTTTTTCCTTTTTAAAGTTTAAAGTTATTTAAACTTTTTTTTAATACAAGGAAGAACATATAAAGTCTGTTAAAAGTTAATCTGTTAGCTAATATCAGAAGTAGGGTGTTCATACTGACATTCACATCTTAAAATTTAGGTGAGTTTTGCTTTCATATAATTTTCAAATTGCATAAATTTCAATCCAACCTAATTACCTTCATTTTAAGGTACAATTATTTTCTGGATTTTGCGTATGTGTGTCTTCCTGGGAAATAAAATATTAGTATATCTAGCATTAGAGTGAATTGCTAACTTTATAAAATTTCCTTGAGGATAATGGGGATTTCTGAAAGTGATATTTAATTTATATAAATATAAAGACTTTAAAGACTTCAGGTGTCTTAAATCTTAACAGATAGGGCTGGAAAGTTTTTATTTTAACTGGTGACTAATATTCATGTTGCCAGCACACCCCCGATCCCTCCCAGCTGCCTGTGTCATCATAAGTCTCCTGTTTTTTAGCTAAATTATTTTGCAATATGGTATTGAGGCTGGCTTATTGTCACTCCTAATAAACCCAGTTCTCTCTCTCTCTCTCTCTATCTCTCTCTCTCTCTCTCTCTCACACACACACACACACACACACAGATAGACACACAAGAAATATTCAAATATTTTCTTATTGAGAAAAAAATGGTGTTTTCTTAAGCTTAATGTCATTTTGCTTTGAAGATCATCTGTCAAGTTCAGCAGAGCATATAATTCAATCAAACACTAAAAGTGGATTGTATGATCTCTATGTACTTGTGGAATAGATTTTTTGCCTTTTTTTCTTTTTTCTTTCTTATTTATTTTTAATTTTTCCCCAAAATTGGATGTCAGATTTTTTTGCCCTTTAAAAAATAACTGGTGGCTGGGCATGGTGGCTCCTGTAATCCCAGCACTTGGGAAGGCCTGAGGTCAGGAGTTCGAGACCAGTCTGACCAACATGGTGAAACTTCATTTCTTCTAAAAAGTTTTTTAAAAAATTAGCCAGGTGTGGTGCTGGGTGCCTGTAATCCCAGCTACTTGGGAGGCTGAGGTAGGAGAATCACTTGAACCTGGGAGGTGGAGGTCACAGTGAGCTGAGATAGGGCCATTGCACTCTAGTCTGGGCAACAAGCGTGAAACTCCATCTCAAAAAAAAAAAAAAAAAAAGAAAAAGAAAAAACGGGTTTATCATATTATTCACATGCAATACAATTTACTCTCTTTTTTTATTTTTCTTTTTTTTTTAAGCCTGCAGATGATCAAACAATTTACTCTCTTAAAGGATATAACTGAATTGTTTTTAGTGTATTCACAGTTATACAATCATTACTATAATCAATTTTAGAACATTTTCCTCATTTCAAAGAGAAACCTGATACCTATTAACAATCACTTCTCATCCCCCATTTCCCTTAGCCAGTCTATTTTTTGTATCTATGGGTTTGCCTATTCTGGACATTTCATATAAATAGAATAATGTCTGTAATCCCAGTACTTTGGGAGGCTGAGATGGGTGGATCATTTGAGGTCAGAAGTTTGAGACCAACCTGGTCAACATGGTGAAACCCCATCCCTACCAATCAATCAATCAATCAATCAATCACTGGGGGTGGTGGCATGCCCCTGTAATCCTTGGGAGGCTGAGACAGAATAATTGCTTGAACCCAGGAGGTAGGAGTTGCAGTGATCTGGGATTGCACCACTGCACTCCAGCTTGAGCGATGGAGTGAGACCCTGTCTCAAAAGTAAAATAAAATAAATAAAAATAAATAAAATAAGTGGAATCACACAACATGTGCTTTTTGGTGACTGGCTTTTTTTACTTCTCATGTTTTAAAGGTTCATCCATTTTTTTTTTGGTCTTTTAAATCTGTTATGTGGTAGATTTTGGTTTCATATCAGTGTTACTTGCCTTTCTTTTCTTTTCTTTTCTTTTTTTTTTTTGAGACGGAGTTTCGCTCTTGTTACCCAGGCTGGAGTGCAATGGCGTGATCTCAGCTCACCACAACCTCTGCCTCCTGGGTTCAGGCAGTTCTCCTGCCTCAGCCTCCCGAGTAGCTGGGATTACAGGCACGCGCCACCATGCCCGGCTAATTTTTTTGTATTTTTAGTAGAGACGGGGTTTCACCATGTTGACCAGGATGGTCTCGATCTCTTGACCTCGTGATCCACCCGCCTTGGCCTCCCAAAGTGCTGGGATTACAGGCTTGAGCCACCGAGCCCGGCCTGCCTTTCTTTTTTGAAGATAAGGCCACTTAAATTATTAGATTATTTGAATTCTCCTTAAGTTATAAGTCTAGTCCTGCTATATCAGTTATCTAAGTATTTAGAATAGACTAGAAGGCCTAGGCTTCTTAAACTTTTCTCTTTTTTATGTGTGTAATAATATGAATAAAAAATCAGCAGATTTATATTTTAGAAAATGAGTCATATAAAATTGGGGGCTTTATTGACACATTTAATTCTTTCATGTGTAAAATTACTTACATTAAAATATGATTTTCTTGTTTTTCCCTCAGACTAAAAAATTTTTGTTATTATGAATATTTCTATAGTTGGGCTGTTTTTACCTGGCAAGAATGCTTTTCTGCTCAAGTGAAAAGATAAGGATGTTAGGCCTAGAACGGACATTTCTGAATGAATTAATGTTGGATTGGTATTTTTTTTACAAGAGGAGGAGACAACCTATTTTACATCCATTGATTTTAAGACACTTTTAATTGCACGTATTATAAGTGTATACAGCTCAATGAATTTTCAGAAACTGAAAACGCATGGGTAACTAGCACCCAAATCAGGATATGTAGAATGTTCCTCGAATTTCAAAAGCCTTCTTTTGTGCTTCCTTCCAGTAATTATCTCCTCTCCCCAAAAAGGAGTCAACATCCTGATGTCTAACAGTATAGAATAGTCATCCATGGATGAAGTAAACTCTTTTCTTATTTTTCTCTAACTATATAATTAAGACCCACATATCCAGTATTTAGATTTCAACTAAGTGACTTTAAATGTTGATAACTTTGTGGCAAAATCATGCTCATAAATATGGAGTTCAGCTATATTAACAAGGAAAAAGTTGGTAGGTAGGTGTGTTTATTGATGGTGTACTTACTATAATTTAGCAAACAGAATTTGGTTTATAACCAAAAACGACTATAATTTAGTAACCAGAATAAATAATTTTAATGTTTATTTTGTAATTTTTTTTATAAAAAGGAAACTGGGCTGGGCGTGGTGGCTCACACCTGTAATCCCAGCACTTTGGGAGGTCAAGGCGGGTGGATCACGAGGTTGGGAGCTGAGAGCAGCTTGGTCAATATGGTGAAATCCTGTCTTTACTAAAAACACAGAAGAATTCTTTAAACCCGGGAGGTGGAGGTTGCAGTGAGCGGAGACTGTGCCACTGCATTCCAGCCTGGGCGACAGAGAGAGGCTCTGTCTCAAAAAACAAAAAAGAACTGTTGGTGTGGTCTACTTGAGTAAATATTGCTAAACATCCACAACATGCTGGCGTCTGTTTTGATGGGCTCAGGATCTATTGGCGATGAAATAAGTCAACAGATGATTTTAGAGTCATGCTAAGAGATAAATTCATCAGAAACCATGAGCATGGAGAAGAGGTGCTTTTCATCTGGCACGAAGATAAAGGAAGGATTTCCTGGAGGTGAAGTTAAATCTTGAAAGGGGAATAAGAGTTAGTTAGAGGTAGGGAGTGAAGAAAATTTTAGACGTAGAGAAGAGCATAAATAGCAACTGACTTTCGTGTCAGCCGAGGCTGACTCAGATTGACTTAAACCAATCATTACATCTAGTGATGTCCTGGTAAACAGCAGAACATTTTTACAAAAAAAAAAAAAAAGTCCAGATACATAGGGTTGGACACTTTCTGTGGTGCAAATACTCCTGCCATGGTCAATTTCAAGCCACATACGTTAAGTCCCTAATGCTAATGTAGGAAGAAATGTATTAATACTTAATTGGCTCTTGAGAGCCAGAGGAGCTGGCTTAGCACACCATCTTCCCAATCACAAAGATAGGTTTTGGGTCAATATGTTATCTACGCGAATCCAATCAAAGCCAGTTTTAGAAAACCTGCTTGGAAAGTTATTTAATGCCTCCCTGCCTTGTCTTTTATTTTTTTAATTTTTTTTTTTTGAGACGGAGTCTTGCTATGTTGCCCAGGCTTTTCTTGAATTCCTGGGCTCAAGTGATCCTCCCACCAGGACACCAGTAGATGTAGTGATTGGTTTAGGTCAAGCTGAGTCAGTCTCGGCTGGCAGGAAAGTCAGTTGCTGTTTACTCTTAGTTTTCTCCCCTCCTACCAGACTTGTTCTCTGCTGTACTCTACTCTTTGGAAATCTGACTGTATGGAATATATCATTCAGGCTCT